ATGGTGGTGGTGGTGGTGGTGTTGTGGTGGTGGTGGATGGAGACGACGATGACGACGATGACGACGATCCGGCGGCATGCGGTGAAGCGAAAGAGAAGGACAGCTTGAGGAAGGCTGGTGGCGGAGTTGAGGGCCCGGTGGCCGGCGCTGGCGCTGCAGCTGTGGTGGCGGGCTGTTTGTGTTGGGCCGGCGTTCCCGGTGTGGAGGCCGCTACCGCTGTCGTCACGGACTCTAACGAGACTGCGGCGGCTGCAGGTTGCGCGGCTGGGGCGCCGCCGCCGGCAGATGGTGATGGAGACAGAGTGAGACTCGGTGACGTCACGCCACTCGCCGCAGACTGCTCCATCTATGGGCTGTGGAGGCATAGGAGATTACGAAAGATGTGTGATTCAAGATGGACGCATCAAATTGAAGAGATGGTCGATCATACCTCGCGCGAGCGTGTCGCGTCAGTGGTTCGCGCCTTTGTCGAAAGGGGTTGTTGGTCGTGCCCGCCCCCCTTCGCTTTTTGTCTCTTCTTCGATCTTTGAACAAAAACAAAACAATATAAAAATTGGCAACGGACACCACTAAAACGAAGACCTGCGATTGGTCAGATTTTTTGTTTCCCCTTGTCCTCGTAATTGGCGAAACGCTTTGAACGTTCGCGCTGCCATTGTGGGACACCCCTGCACGTGCGGTCCTGGCGTGTCGTGTGCCGCTCACAAGGTCGTGGACCGCACTCGGATGTCGGGTTCCATCGTCTTGCTCTTGCGACGTTCAGCAGCCAATCGTTCCCTGAGCCAGCGGCCGCGTGAGTCGCATCAAATGATGAGGTGGGTGGGGGAATGCTGGAGTCGTACTCTTCCAGCACGGGAAGCAAGCCGACCGGTCCAACCAGCGAGAAGTCCAACAGCTTGCCGCTGCGTGGCCGACTTGTGGGCGCGCCGCCGGCAGCGGCTGCGGCCATGGGGTAGTGCGCCTGCATCAGGATCTCCGAAAGAAGGCGCGGCCTGGTACCGGGTGTGAGCTGCTCGAGGAGCGAAGAAGAAGAAGAGGGGGTCAGGCAAGGGGGAGGGTACTCTGTGCGCATAGGCAGGCAGGACAAGGCTGCGGCGCGAAGGCGGCCCAGAAGGAGCAGCGCGTGGGTCATGACCGCGGACGATACGCCTAGGCCCACCTTCCGCACGAAGGTGGTCCGCGATGATCGACAGGAGCGCGCTCGCG